AGAGAGAGAGAGAGAGAGAGAGAGAGAGAGAGAGAGAGAGAGAGAGAGAGAGAGAGAGAGAGGGGGGGGCCATTGCCACACCACTCTCGAAATGTGCAAAATGAGAATGAACTTCCTGCTAGAACATGGCCAGATGCAACCCCCACATTTTTGTCTTTCGCACATTTCGAGAGCGGTGTGGCGAGGCCCAGAGACACAGCGAGAGAGCGAGCCAGGGTCCTCCCCCCCGCGGCTAATACGCGTTAAGGGGTAGGAAAATATGGCGGTGTATAGTTTCATGTTCTAGCGAAAGATTCATTCTCATATGGCTGTACCAACGGAGACAAAAAAACGGCTTGGAAAAAAAAAGGAAAAGAAAGAAAAAAAATGAAACGACAACTCTACTATCCCGACGGCTTCCCTTTGCAGATATTCCCCATCAGCTGCGGTCCTCTTCCCTCTGCCCATGTGCCCGCCCTCACGAGATCGCTTCTGGAAAGGTAACAGTTCGTTAAAAAAACCTTAGGGCCGCTCCCTCGCCGCGGATCCTTCCGATCCAATGCCCCTTGTTCATTTTAAAGTTTTCCCACGGCGCGCAGCTTGCCAACCTCCTCCCCCTGCGGCTGATACTCGTTAAGGGGTAGGATGGACATTTCTTAATTGGGGAAACTGCTCCTGAGTCACCTCTTAGGCTTTGACTAAGTCCTTAGTTTGAAATAGGCAAGAAAAGACAAAGTGGCGCCCATGTCTTTTTTTTTTTTTTTGGAAAAATGCTCCATCTGTTGGTGGGGAGCTTCACCTGCTGGAAACTGGGTCATTGTCTGAGTTTCAAAATGTGCAAGTTTAGCGGGGGGTTGAAACTGCGTCCGTTTTTTTGAAGTGGCGCGAATGCAGATTAATTTTAGCGACGGTTTTTTTTGCCCTGTTTCGAGAATTGCAAAAGTTGGGTATTACAAATGCTGGGTCTGACCCAAGAGCCATTCATTTGCCCCCTTTTATTTTTTCAACCAAATTGAAATAGACTAAATTCTCCCGATTGATGTCAAGATTTCAAGCTTTTTAGGGTCTGGCGCTCTTAAAATGCCGGACCCCCTGGATTTATCTGGACATTGCTGTAGTCCTGGGGATCCAGCGTATTGAAAAAACCTGGATGTATCTTGACTTACTAGCTGGAGTACAGGGGGTATCATGGTGTTTTAAGAACGCTGGACCCTCGAAGCTAAAACTTTTAACCCAATCCGGCAAATTTTGCCGTTTTAAATTTCACTCAAGAAACCAAAATTGTTCAGGCTCCAAAAAAATAGGATTAGATACCCAAGGTACATTTTCCCTGAGGTGCAGGCCGTGGACGGTGGATCGTCACAGAAGTGGATACTAGATAGAGAACATAGTTACGCCGGACCGGACCCCGGACCTCCCGGGGTCATCCGGTCTTCCAGAAAACCGGAATATTCCGGAATATCCAGACCGGTCCGGATCCCTTGTCCGGATGCCCGTCCGGATGTAGTATATTTTCCGGGCAAAATAAAAAACAAAAAAACAGTATACATGCTTTCGTGACTGCGCCCTAGTTACCCCAAAAAAAAATCAAACCCCCCGAAGCCAAAAGAAAAAAAAAGAACCGATCCGTGAACTCCATGAACTCCGACACCGTGAACTCTGTGAACTCCATGACCGGTTTCCGTCCACAGACCCCGTGAACAGTGAACGGGGGTACGACACTGATTCAGTACCATCTTACACCGGGATTCGTTGCCATGGAAACTGACTTCCCTCCATTCTATCTCCTTCTCCCCTATCACCATCTGACGGTAGTTCCTTGGGATTCGATCGCACATTACTGGCCCTGTAGGCCGTCAGTACAACACCTTCTGGGCTGCGGGATTAGTGCGATGGACCCGCTCTGAAGTTGAGCACTGAGAACACAGTCTCCGGCTGAGGCCGTCCACATCGGACTCAGAGATCTGTGAAACCTGCCAGCGACAGCTGTTCGAACAGAGAGACACCCACTGTGTTCCATCAGTGCACCAGGTGTGAGCCCGCCCGAGGAGACGGGGCCAACGAAATTAGCCGCTGGATCCTGAGAAAGGCGAAACCCAAGACCTGGCCCTACACAAAAACCACTTGCATTTCCACCCCTGAAACTTGACACCGGAGATCTCAGTTCCGACCTGGGACGCCAACCCACTTTCCTAAAATCCTTGACACACCCCTACAGTGCACTTCCGGGCCCCCTATCACTCCGGAGACAGGAAGTCGCGCTGGGCGTGAGGTTGGGCGTCACAGCGTCGACGCAGCTTTGCAAGACTGAATGTTGACCTCCCGAGACCAAGTCGTACTATGTAGTGTTTGACGAGGCAGGTCTCCTTCCCACAGTCGTACAGATTGACTCACAGCCGAGGGCCTGAATTGTTTACAGCTGCAGACTTCCCTTGGTCCTGATGCTGTCTGGGTACCTGCATACAAACAAGCGTGTGCGTCTGACCGGCGGCCTGGGCTGGGTACACTTTGACATTGATTGTTGGGCGTCTCGCAGTTGACTTTGGTCAAGTGTCACTCGCTCAGGCCCTGAACCTTTGGCTGGGGTCTTTTCCTCTCTTCCGCATGGGTCTGGGTGTGGCCTGGCAAGGCCTTTAGGCATTCCACGAGGCATACTGCATGGGTTATTGCAATAGTCTCGTGAAAAAGAACTAATAATAAATAAAAGGAAAAGAAATTCGTACGCATTGGAGGAGGATCAAACCACAGTCACAGTGCCCTCCTGTTGTAACACGCTACATCACATGAGCTCTCAGAAAATGAAAATTTTTCCAAAAATTCGATGAAAATTTTGATGCTCAATTTTGTCACGCAAAAAACAATACTTCAAATTCAAAGAAATGTTAGCTCTGCTGCCCTGGGCCCCACCATGAGCAGCTTCCCCCCTTGTGGTGTTACAGGGCCTTCCTGGACCCCCAGCATCTTGGGAGTGCCTCTGGTTGGC